CCGATGTGTAGCTGGTCTGCGGAGATCGGGTCGGCGGGGTATCGGCTAAGCAGTGACAGCTCCATGTCTGCTTCAGTGGCCTGTGAGGGGCTTGCTCCAAGGACTGCAGGCGCTGCAGCTCGAATCTTGTCCAGGACCATCTGCACCTCGCTGGACTGACGCACGATATCCCAGCCGTAAGCTTTCAGCTGTTCGTGCCAGCTTGCGCGCCCCTGCAAGAAACCGCGCACGTCCTCCCAATCAGGAAGCAAGTACTCCGCTTTCTCCTCAGGACTCAGAGCCTCCCAGTCTTGTTCAGAGCCCGCTTCCGTGTAACGAATGAACGCAGCGCACTCCCCCAAACTGGTTTGCGCAAAAGGCAAGCTTTCCTGATGAGACAGGCCAGCAAAAAGAGCCCGGAGCCTCGACTCCGGAGCCCCCTCAAGCTGAAGCTTCGCGCTCAATTCGGCCGCCTCATCCTCCAAGTGCTGCATGAAGATCACCCACGGCTTCCGAACTCCTCGAATTGGGGCCTTGGCAGGCAACCCAGTAGGCTCACATCAAGCTTTTCGCGGATGCGTGCCGGAAAAGGTGAAAGCAAGCCATGCCGAAACACGGCTGAGCAGCTGAGCTGAGCACGGCTAAGCGACAGCTACACGCGGCTGAGCACGGCTAAGCGTGGCTAGCACGGCTGCGCAGTTGACGAAGGCTGCGCACGGCTAAGCGACGGCTACGTGCAGCTGAGCACGGTGGCTAGCACGGCTGCGCAGGCTGAGCAATTAACGCAGGCTGAGCACGGCTAGGCAACGGCTAGGCACGGCTGAGCACGGCTAAGCGTGGCTAGCACAGCTGCGCAGGCTGAGCAACTGAGCGCGGACAGGCGCAAGCTGAGCACGGCTACGCACCAAGTGCGCACACCTAAGCATGGCTGAGCACGGCTGCGCTGGCTGAGCAGCTGAGCGGCTGAACAGCTAAGCACGGCGAAGCGCGGCAGAGCACAACGCGCAGCTGAGCAACCGAGCACGGCGAAGCACGGTGTCATGTAAGCGCGGGCTGAGCAACTGAGCGCTAGCACGGGGCACGTGAGTGGCTGAGTTGCTGAGCACAGCAGGACGTGGGCTGGGGCTGCGGCAGACATTGCGTCTGAAGCCCGCGCTTCCACCTTCGCAGCCTTCTTCCCTGCAGCTGGCTCGCGCCCTTCCGCCTCAAAAACTTCAAAGACAAAACCCGTGGGCAACAGCGCGGGCAAGGCCCGGGCAACTGTCCTAGGAGACGTTGGCGTGGGCGCAACAGCCTTAGGTGGCCAGTGTCAAAGCGCCAGAGGTACAAACAGAACGCAAAGCTAAAGTTGGCTCTGGAGCCCTCCGCTCGGCCTGCTCGGCCTTGACAATTCGCGTGGTCTTGGCCTCCGGTGCGCTAGTTGCATCCCGCTGAGCCAAGTGAATTTGAGAAGCCGACTTCAGGAGCCTTTCCAGACAAAGAACTTCCCAACGTAGCAGCCTCAAAAAAGCAAAACTGCAAATGTGCTACTTGGACTTAGGTCTCTGGGCCCCAAGCTGACACAGCTTCCGCGCGTGGCCCTGACTTTGCCGCAGGGCGTTCTCCGGCCTCAAACAATTGGGTGGCCAGTGTGTTTAGCAAGGCGCCTGTGCTCGATCGCGCAAGCCCCTGGCCGAAGTTGGCACTGGAGCCCTCCGCTCGGCCTTGACAATCTGCGTTGTGCTGGCCTTGGGTGTGGTTGGTGCAGCTCGTTCACCTACAGCGATTTTGAGAAGCCGACTTCGGCAGCCTTTCCGGACAAAGAACTCTCCGACGTCACAGCCTCAAAAAGCAAAAAACAAATGTGCCATTTGGACTTGGGCAATCCCGGGCCCCAAGCTGACAAAGTTTCTGCGCTTGGCCCTGACTTTGCCGTAGCGGGTGGCCTGGCCTCAGACAATTGGGTGGCAAGTGTCTTCAGCAAGGCGCTTGCGCTCCAAAGATCGCACAGAGCCCCTGGCTGAAGTTGGCTCTGGAGCCCCGCGCTCGGCCTTGACAATCTGCGTGGTCTTGGCCTCCGGTGCGCTAGTTGCATCCCGCTGAGCCAAGTGAATTTGAGAAGCCGACTTCAGGAGTCTTTCCAGACAAAGAACTTCCCAACGTAGCAGCCTCAAGAAAGCAAAACTGCAAATGCGCCACTTGGACTTAGGTCTGTGAGGCCCAAGCTGACAAAGCTTCTGCGTTTGGCCCTAGCTGTGCTGTAGGACGCTCTCCGGCCTCAGACAACTGGGTGCCCAGAGTCTTCAACAAGGCGGCTCTAAAGATCGCACAGAGCCCCTGGCCGAAGTTGGCTCTGCCCCGCGCTCGGCCTTGACAATCTTGGCCTCCGATCTGCTAGTGCATGCTGAACCCCAAGTGAATTTGAGGAGTCGACTTCAGGAGCCTTTCCACACAAAGAACTTCCCGACGTAGCAGCCTCAAAAAGCCCAAATGCAAATGTGCTACAAACTTCGGCCACCTGGGCCCCAAGCTGACAAGGCTTCCGCGCCCGGCTCTGACTTTGTTGTACGGCAGTGCCCGGCCTGAGAAACCATGGAGAAAAACTGCAAAAAGAAAGCAAGCATTTGCCTCTTCCGCATCGCTCACAGAAGGCTTGTCTGGCTCCTGCCCAAGGGTGCGCCTATGAGACACGCGAGCCACAGTGGGTCGGCAGACTGCTCCTGCTGCACATCGCCCCTGCCCGACCTTGCCTTACAATCGCTTCAGCTCAACGAGTCAATAGTGATTAGCCAAGGCTGTGACCTTAAAGCCAGGCGGGCAGGGAGGGTCCTGCCATCGAAAAACAACGCAAAAGCTCCGTCAGCGAGGTTGATTGCAGCAACACAGCAGTGTCCTCCAAACCCTTTTCGGCTGCGTATCTCTGGGCTGCAGCGTACGAACGAAGCTTCTTGCCAGCATCTGGCGGGGTCCAAATCCCTGAGCGATCCAAGAACCCGGGCCCCAGCCCGTCAAAAAAAAACACAGGTGGACGATCCACTGCGGACAGGATACAGTATGGATCGCCAACGTGCTCTCCGGATTGTCGATACACTTTCTCCAAGCACCACGACGGCATGGCTTGCTCTGGGCCCAAATGGCCTATTCCCACGCAGAAAATTTCAATTTCGACCCCCCCTCAAAAACCTGAGCGCCAGACCCCCCCCCCGTGTTTCACGACCCCCCCCCCCTCAAAAGTGAAACAAAAAATGAAATTTCACCGGGGTACCCCCCCCCTCAAATTACAATTGTTAGGGGGGGAGAATGGGCAAACTAATCCCTGTAAAACGGCAGCCACCCCCCCCATGATGATCGAAAAAATAGGGGCAAAGAATCTAAAAAGTAGCTGTCGCATGATGATCGAAAAAGTGATGATTCAATTAGGCGTGCATTTTAATCGAAAGGGGGGTGGCGGGGGCCCAGAGAGGAACTTGCGATGCTGATGATGCAGGAAGCCAAGGCCAAAAACCAACTGGGAAAGCATCAGGATGCGAAAAGCCAAAGCCAGAAAGCCGCCAAAAGCCAAAAAGCCAAAAAGCCAAAAAGCCAAAAAGCCAAAAAGCCAAAAAGCCAAAAAGCCAAAAAGCCAAAAAGCCAAAAAGCCAAAAAGCCAAAAAGCCAAAAAGCCAAAAAGCCACCTGCCGCAGCGGAACTGGCAATGCAGAGGATGCGAAAAGAGAGGAACTGTGAATGCAGATGATGCGAAATGAAAAGAAAGCCACAAAAGCCGAAAAGCCACCGACCCTGAAAAACAAAAATAATTCCTAAAAAAAAAACGAAAAAAAACCTAAAAAAAATGGCCCTCCATGCAAGTATTTACGTATGCAACCTGAACCTGAACCTGGACACGGTCATAAAAGCAAATTCAAATTTCACATGGATCCAATGGGCCTTCCGTCAGAGCCTTGTGGTTGGAAAACTCTGGTTGCTTTGCTGCGCAAACCATCTCCGTCGGACACGGCATTCAAGTTTAAAGCCCAAACTAGGGCATTCAACAACTGACCTTGACTAGCGCACTGTTGGACCAAGGTGAAAAGAGTACCCTCCAGCAAAAACAAGCCCGTTTGTAGAGATCTCTTTCATTCTGTCCAGGTCGTTGCCCTTGGGAATGGCAAGCTAGGCATGTATGAAAAGAGGCTCAAGCCTAGGAACCTGCGCAGCTGTATACGAAAAGTCGCCCCGCCTGAGTGGACACAAGACCTGCCTCCAAGGAAGGCTCAAACAATCGGCTCGCACCCCAAAAGTGGGCCTAACGGATGAGTTCTTCTCGGCTCCGCCAATTTGGGTGTCAAAAGAGAGTGACCGAACATGCGCGGTTTTGTTTTGCCTTCTCCGTTTAAGGCAAGCTGAAAAGGGTAGCCTCAAAACAAGCACACTCACAAACATTTGGGCATGATTCGAAATTGGGGACACTTTGGCGCAAATGTCCACCAACCACTTTGGAGGTGCCTCCAACGCTTACTTCAAATGTCACACCTTTCACTGCAAATTTGGGCGCAGCAGAAGGGGACAACCATGTGAGTCTTAAACACCGTTACCAAAAATGGCCCTTCTTCCGCTCCGATTGGTTGGTCCCGGCAAAACCTTCACGTACGGCCAGGGTTTTGAGGATGTGCCTTACTTGGGGGTTGATCGAAAGGTCCTTTACATAGGATGACCATTTGGTTGGAAAACCACTGAGAGACTAAGAGGAGGATATGTTCCATATAAGCAACAAAAATACCCATCACTTTGGGGCCCCAAATGGAACATTGATTAAACCCAATTTTGCTGATTCTTTCTTGGACAATAAATTAATTTCCCAGGCAGATCGTGAACCGGGTAAACCAGGAATCGCCCTCTATGTTTCATTTCAATCTAGCCAAAAAGGACCTGTCATTTGGTTGCGGGTCAAAAAGTAGGGTAACCCCAAATGGCTTGCCCTGGTAAATGGACCCGAGGACCAATTCCTGTGGTCCAATTCCTGGTGGTTTAATTTTGACCCATACCCATTTCTCTTCGGGCTCCTTCTTGGTGACCAGCTTGGACGACACCGTCGCCTCCATTGCCTTGATCTGATTTTGCGTCTCCTGGCCGTGCAGGTGAGGATCAAAGAAAGCCGAAAACACAGCGGGGTTGATCAATATTCCATTTAGGGCCGCCAAATAACCATGGGTAAGAATTTTGCCTGTGGGCAAATTCATCTTTTTGGGTGGTTTCCTTCATGGTCTTTCCACGTAAAGGACCTTTTGATCAACCCCCACATGTTTCCAGCCTGAAAATGCAAAGCAACTTAGATTGCGGAGAATTGACACCGCAAAACCCAAACTGCCAATAAAGCTGGGCGATTCTCCCGTACTGCCAAAAATCTGGGCCTCCATATGTTGAGGCACAGTACGGAGTTGGTCATCCAAATTTGGGACGCACAAATCCAGCTGCTGCCCACTATCTACTTGGGTAACCGGCGGTTGGTAGCACAAACCGTTGGTATCCATCCGGTGCTTCGGTCAACATCCATTTTGGCAATGGGCCCTGAAAAGTTTTTGCCAGCCGCCTTCCAACCAAAAAGGTTTGGCTTGGTGGGGGCAGGCTTTGGAAGGGCCTGGAAGAGTTGATGAGTTGATGCTCGGACCTGGCCAGCGGGACATCGGCCCGTGCAGTCCAACGTTTTCGGATTTTGCGGGAAAAAAGCTGGGAACGGGCGTTTGAAGCAGCGGTTAGCGCTCCAAACGTGCGCGATACTTCGGCTTGACGCTCTCTGCCTCATGCTGGGCTTTGATCTCGTTGATGGAGTCGCTGCTCTTCTTTGTGTCGGCGGTTACCTCTTTGATGATCTTCTCAAAGGCTTCCTGCAGAATCCCAAGGCACGCCTACTTCCCCCTTTACTGATTTTAATTTTTGGAACTGCCCCCTTGTATAAACTGGTCAAGGAAGAGTTTGCTCTCTGCTGCAATCAACCAACGGTAAGATGCTGGTTGCACGGTGCGCTATGTTTGGAGAGCTTCCACACCCCCTCACAGCGCTTGCTTCCCCATTCCACACTCCACATCGCACGGTTGAGCAATCACGGCTTCCTTTGTCTGGGACAAATATCGAAACTACTCAGCTGGTCAAAACAAGGTGACTTTGACTATATTGCTTATGCCAACAAATATGTATCCATTATATACATGTGTATGTATGTACGTAGACACGTATCCCGGGTCGGAAACGGCCCGCGGAGGCGTGCCAAAGAATACAAAGTCGAAGACGAGCCAGAGCGAAACAATGGCTATTCCCATAGAAAGCGCATGAACATGCACGCGTGTTTTTCTCAGTGGCACCACCCATTTGCAAGTCAATGTCCAGCGGAGTTCATGCAGCGAACGAAGTCTCCGCCCCGGCGCAGGAGTCTGCACTATCCGCACCATGTTGGCCATTGCATTTTGTTCAAAGTGTGCATTTCCGTGAAATCGCAACGAATACGCTGGTGGTGTTTGACTCGCTGGTATGTGAATATATATATATATATATACATACATATATCTATAATTGAAAATAGCTATAGAGTGTGCACATATATGGTGCGCATAGACATATGAAATACAACAGCCCCGTTTAGTCCAGAAGGAAGTTCTGCCTTCCACCCTTGGGTTCAGCGGAATCCTTTACCATCCAACAACAAAAAATAAAAATAACATAAAAAACACCCTGTCCATTTCCAGCAACCAAAAATAGAGCCATGCCCTTACATGTGACATAAAATTCATAAAACCCACTGCTTAAAAACCGGCTGTAGGGCATATTCCCCCCCCTCCCTCCGACCCATCGACCCATCGACCCATCGACCCATCGACCCATCGACCCATCGACCCATCGACCCATCGACCCATCGACCCATCGACCCGGAATCGCCTTCCGAAGATACCTCTCCTGAACAGACTGCAAGCCTTCCTCCGCCTGGCGCGCGGCCCGCGACCGGCCCGCGACCGGGCTGGCCGGCCCGCGACCGGACGGGCCCTTAGCACTTGGGATGAGGACCCCAGCAAAACACGTTTCCGTGGAAAACAAAGGGGAGCCCAAAAAAGGAAATCAAACACGGGAGCTAATTCTGGGGAAGAACATGGGCGGATATCTTTGCTCAAAGGGGAAGCCGACCCCACAACATACTCTTTGAGAATCGGCGAAAGAAAGCGAATCACTCGAAATCCACATGCTAAGGGATCAAGAAAAATGCCAGGCAGTTTGCACGCGAACCGAGCTTTTGCCAGAAGCGAATCAGAAGTCACAATACGTCGCCGCCATGTATTTGGGAAACCAACTAAACATCCCAGCCATGGTAGGGTCAGGATTCATCTTTGGTCCAACGTCCAACGTGAATTTCCTTCGCAACACGGATGGTTGAGCAACATGTTGCGTCAAAAGGGGGCGTGGGGTTGCCGCATTTTCAAGACCTTGTTTCTTCGTATCAGAACAACATTGCTTTTGCGGCAAACCTCGTCCTTGATGACGTGGAAAAAAAAAAAAAAACAGATTTGGAGAAGAATTCGTGACGGTCACATGAACAGCGGACCAAAGCCCTCGCCGCACTGTCAAAACCTTTGCTTCGTATCGCAGAAGCATGCGTGGGTGTGTGTGTGTGTGTGTGCGTGTGTTTCCGTTTGTTTCTGCGGCTAGGCGGCAGCGTGAATATACTGCCCCGCCTGAGTCGCACACTGACTTGAAGTGGATGGATGTCGCTTGACCAAAGCCGTCATTCGAAGCACGGCAAACCCCGCCCGTTGACCCAACATGTTGATACAAGTGTTCAGTGCTTGGAGACTCAGCCAGGACTCATCCAGGACTAAGCCAGGATCTACTTGTTGTTTCGTGTTGTGTTTTGGTTGTTTTTTTTCCGACACACACACACACACACACATCCACATCCACATCCATCCGCGCATCCTCTCTGCCGTGCCTTCTGTGACCTTTGTTCCGTGGAGGTGCGGAAGTCGCTGAGAGCATCCTCGAGCTGCTGGACCTGCTGAAACCGCTGCTCCCAGCTCTGCTCGCTTTCTCGGATCTCTTGGCGAATGCGGCTCATCTCGTCCAGCACCTGCACGAAGGCTCAACACTAAACAGTGTCTGGGGAACATATTCCCAACATTAAGAAGGTGTTGTGGTCCAAGAAACAATGATTCACAGGTCGGACCTTGAACGGTCACGCAGCGCATGCCCAGCTTGACTTGAAGAGGCTTACACTGGTTCCAACCAATTTCTTGAATGATTGCTCACTCGAAGCCCTCCTGTCTGTCCAAACGAGGTTTGACACGAAAGTCAACTTCACAGAAAAAGCCCAGCTTGAAGCTTCCCTATGTTCATCTGTTTGGGATACTAAAAGGAACCCATCTGAGAACTTGAACCCCAGGCATTCCAAAGACCCCGCCCCATCGCCGGGGCGCGTGGCCGATCTCCTGCTCCTTGAGCCGGTCTTGGCCCGCCGCCAAGGTCTGCGACAAATCCTCTGTCATCAGCTCCACCACCATCTGGCGAATGGAGTCCTTGCGACTCTCGGGTCAAAGAAAACCAACCAACAAAATTTACGTTCGAACTACGTATCCAGAAAGGGGGTCCGCCTAGGTTGCAATGTGAGGAAAAAGATACCAAAGCCACCAGTGGCCCGGATTGGGCTTGGTGGCAAGTAGCAGCAATGGCTTGAATGTTTGTGGGTGTGTGTGTGTGCGCGTGTGCTTCTTTGTGTGTGTGTTTGTCTTTGTGCTTGTGTTGGCCATCCTGGTTGTGCTTGTGCTTGCGTGCTTGCGTGCTTGCCTGCTTGCGTGCTTGCTTGCTTGCGTGCTTGCTTGCTTGCTTGCTTGCTTGCGTGCGTGCGTGCTTGCTTGCTTGCTTGCGTGCGTGCGTGCGCGTGTGCGCATGTGGGCGTGTGTGAGAGCGCGCGCGTGCACGCGTGCGCGCGTGTGTGCTTGCGCGGGTGTAAAGTGGTGTCAGTGTGCGCGCGCGCGTGCGTGCGCGCACGTGTGCGCACGTGGGCGTGTGTGAGCGCGTGCGCGTGTGCGCATGCACGCGTGTGCCAAGGGCGCGCGCGCGCGTATCCGCGTGTTTGCGCGTCCGCGCGTGTGCGTGAGTGTGCTCTTGTTGGTGTGGGTGTGCGGGTGTGCAGGTGTGCGGGTGTGCGTGCGTGCGCTTGTGTGTGCGTGTGTGTGCGCGTGATGCGAGGGTGCGAAGTGTGTGCGTGTGTGCGTGCGTGCGTGCGTGCGTGGGTGGGTGGGTGGGTGAGTGGGTGGGTGGGTGGGTGTGTGTGTGTGTGTGTGCGTGCGCGGGTGCGCGGGTGCGTGCACGCGTGTGTGCATGTACGCAATTGCGCGCGTGTTTGTGCTTGTGCGTGTGGGTGCCTGCGTGGGTGTGTGTGTGTGTGTGTTTGTGCGTGCGTGCGTGCGTGTGTGCGTGTGTGCGTGTGTGCGTGTGTGCGTGTGTGCGTGTGTTCGCGCGTGCGCATGCGCGTGCTGGTGCGCGTGCGGGTGCGGGTGCGCGTGCGCGGGGTGCGGGCGCAGGCGCGGGCGCGTGCACGTGCGCGTGCGCGTGCGCGTGCCCGTGCCCGTGCCCGTGCCCTTGCGCGTGCGCGTGCGCGTGCACGTGCGCCTGCGCGTGCGCGTGCGCGTGTGCGTGCGCGTGTGCCTGCGCGTGCGCGTGCGCATGTGCGTGTGCGTGTGCGTGTGCGTGTGCGTGTGCGTGTGTGTGTGTGTGTGCCTCTGTGTGTGTGTGTGTCTGTGTGTTTGTGTGTGTGTTTGTGTTTTTGTGTTTGTGTGTGTGTGCTTGTGTGCTTGTGTCTTGTGAGTTTGTGAGTTTGTGTGCTTGTGTATGTCACGTGTGTGTGTGTGTGTGTGTGTGTGTGTGTGTGTGTGTGTGTGTGTGTGTGTGTGTGTGTGTGTGTGTGTGTGTGTGTGTGTGTGTGTGTGTGTGTGTGTGTGTGTGTGTGTGTGTGTGTGTGTGTGTGTGTGTGTGTGTGTGTGTGTGTGTGTGTGTGTGTGTGTGTGTGTGTGTGTGTGTGTGT